CAGTTCCTACTATCGCTTATGTAACAGAGTCAGGTTTGGAGAGGGTAGCCCTCGGAATAAAGCAGGAAACTGAGAGTTATCAAGGATATGGGCATCATTGAAACTTCAAGGATATCTGGCACAGACTTCCACGATGTGGTCATGATGGTAACAGCTGTGTCGGACATCTATCCTTTCACATTAGTGTAGTTAGTCATGTAATGATATGGCACTCTTAATGCAATGTGTGTACAGTCTATAGTGCTGGAATGGAATGGTATTAATAACTAATTAATTTGGTTTCTAGTATTATTGGTTGAGGGATTCATATTGTTGAAGGTTTGAAAAATATCACCTGCATTCTACTGGAAAGTAATTTAATTTTAACCAGTGATCTCTACTTCTTTCACCCCACAGTATAAAATTGAGAAGAGCGTTCTCCTAATCCAAAAACTCAATCTGTCTGTCTGGCACAATGACACACTGGGCAGGAATAGTTTTCTGGGAGAGGTGGATGTGGACTTGGGCAGCTGGGACTGGAGTAATCGAGAACTTAACTGGTACCTCCTAAAGTCGAGGGTAAGTAACTTAACTAAGTGCCACCAACCTGACTATAATCCTGTTGTTGATCTGTCTTGTGGCCTTTTAGAAAAATGGTAGTTTGGGCAACAAGTAGCAGTGATGGAGAAAATTGCAAGGATTTTGAAAAATCAAATTATAAAACCTACCATATTGAAAATCAGGATTCTGCATTGCGTTGCATTTCCCCATGTCTGTTCCCAAGTAGATCACCCCTTCAGCTCTAACCCTGAATTAATTTTTGCCTGTGTTTAATTGCTTTTTTGATGATATTCCCATTTTGAAAAATTCTGTTTCCCTGAAGTTTAGCAGAACAAAATCACTCAAAAAGTGGCTTTCAGATATTCCTTTCACATTGCTGGTTTTCTTTGTAAAATAGTCTAGGACTGACGGGAGAGATGGTTTGGCAGCAGAATTGGCGACTGTAAGGTTAAATACAGATGGAGATGATCAGTTTTGTGTAGAAGAAGATTCTTTCTGAATTGCAGAAATCAATGCTATTTCATTGCAACAAAGGCAACTGACCAAGGATATGGAATGTAGGGTGGAGATAGTAGGAACTGCAGATGCTGGAAAATCTGAGATAACAAGGAGATGCTGCTTGGCCTGCTGTGTTCATCCAGCTCTACACCTTGTTATCTCTGGAATGTAGGGTGTTGTGTTAGATATTGTGGAAATTCTCTTGAATTACCTTGTATTGTTCAGTGGGTGGGCATGTTTAAGGGGAAAGTTTTTTTCTGAAACTTTTCTGTTGGATTAGTGACTCTTTGGTGGAATAGATTACACATCTTCTGTGGAAAGAACACCCTTGATGTTTTACCTTGCTATCTTTTTGTTTCATTGGGTAGCCATGACTGTTAAAATAACAGTGAGTTCAAGGCATTTGTCACTGCTTATCTGCAGAGGTGAAGGGTCACATGCATGGTGAAATTCAAATATCCAGAGGTTCTGGTCAGAGTGCGATACTCGACCATTAACTTCACAAAATGACATCTTCCTGTCTCCTTCACCGTTGATAATGCATTGAGTGACATGAATTTGCTGAATCTATGCTAGAGAAATGATCTTTTCATTTTAATTCATTTTGTGAGATGTGGTCGTTGCTGGCTGGCCAGAATTTATTGTCCATTCCTAATTGCCCTTGAGAAGGTGGTGGTGAGTTGCCATCTTGAACCACTGCAATCCTCCTGCTGTAGGTTGACCAACAATGCCATTAGGGAAGGAATTCCAGGATTTGGACCCAGCGACAGTGAAGGAACGGCGATCTATTTCCAAATCAGGATGGTGGGTGGCTTGGAGGGCAACTTGGTGGTGTACCCATATATCTGCTGCCTTTGCTCTTCTAGATGGAGGTGGTTGTGGGTTTGGGAGGTGCTGCCTGAGGATCTTTGGTGAATTTCTGCAGTGCATCTTGTAGATAGTACACACTGCTACTGAGCTTCGGTGGTGGAGGGAGTGGATGCTTGTGGATGTAGTGCCAATCAAGCGGGCTGCTTTGTCCAGGTTGGTGTCAAGCTTCTTCAGTGTTGTTGGGGCTGCACTCATCTAGGCAAGTGGAGAATATTTCATCACACTCCTGATTTGTGTCTTGTGTATGATGGACAAGCTGACAGGAGTCAGGAGGTGAGTTACTTGCTGCCGTATTCCTAGGCCCGACCTGCTCTTGTAGCCACTGTGTTTACATGCTGAGTCCAGTTGAGTTTCTGGTCAACGTTAACTCCCAGGGTGTTTTATAGTAGGGGATTCAGTGATGGTAACACCATTGAATGTGAAGGGGCAGTGGTTAGATTGTCTCTTATTGGTGATAGTCATAGCCTGGCATTTGTATAGCACAAATGTTACTTGCCAGTTGTCAGCCCAAGCCTGGATATTGTCCAGATCTTGTTGCATTTGAACATAGATTGCTTCAGTATCTGAGGAGTCGCGAATGGTGCTGAACATTGTGCAATCAATGGCGAACATCCCCACTTCTGATTTTATGATGGAGGGAAGGTCATTGATGAAGCAGCTGAAGATGGTTGGGCTTTAGGACACTACCCTGAGGAACTCCTGCAGAGATGTCCTGGAGCTGAGATGACTGACCTCCAACAACCACGATCATCTTCAGGTATGACTCCAACCACTGTAAAGTTTTCTCCCTGATACCCATTGATTCCAGTTTTGCTAGGGCTCCTTGATGCCACACTGTGTCAAATGCAGCCTTGATGTCAAGGGCTGTCACTCTCACCTCACCTCTGGAATTCAGCCCTTCTGTCCATGTTTGGACCAAGGCTGTGATGAGGTCAGGAGCTCAGTGGCCCTGGTGGAACCCAAACTGGGCGTCACTGAGCAGGCTGAGCAGGGGCTGCTTGATAGCACTGTTGATGACACCTTCCATCACTTTACTGATGTTTGAGAGTAGACTGATGGGACGGTAATTGGCCGGGTTGGATTTGTCCTGCTTTTTATGTACACGACATACTTGGGCAATTTTACACATTGTTGGTGCCAGTGTTGTAGCTGTACTGGAACAGCTTGGCTAGGGAAGCAGCAGGTTCTGGAGCACAAGTCTTTAGACTAATGCAAGAACATTGTCAGGGCCTGTAGCCTCCAGTGCCTCTAACAGTTTCTTGATATCACGTGGAGTGAATCGAATTGGCTGAAGACTGGTATCTGAAATGCTGGGGACCACTGGAGGAGGCCGAAATTGATCATCCACTTGACACTTCTGGCTGAAGATCGCTGTGAAATCTTCAGCCTTATTTTTGCTCTGATGTGCTAGGCTCTTCTATCGTTGAGGATAGGGATATCTGTGGAGCCTCGTCCTGTTAGTTAATCATCTACCACCATTCATGACTGGATGTGGCAGAACTGCAGTGCTTAGATCTGATCCATAGGTTGTGGGATTACATAGCTCTGTCTATCACTTGCTGCTTTTGCTGTTTGACATGGAAGTAGTCCTGTTTGGTGGCTTCACCAGCATGACATCTCATCTTCAGGTAAGCCTGGTGCTGCTCCTGGCATGCCCTCCTGCACTCTTCATTGAACCAGGGTTGATGCCCTGGCTTGATGGTAATGGTTGAGTTGGGGATATGCTGGGCTATGAGGTTACAGATTGTGCTGGAGTATAATTCTGCTGCTGTTGGTGGTCCACCGCACCTCATGGATTCCCAGTTTGAGTTGCTAGATCTGTTCAAAGTTTGTCCCATTTAGCACGGTAATAGTGCCACACAACACGATGGAGGTTGTTTTCAATGTGAAGGCGGGACTTCGTCTCCACAAGGACTGTGCGATGGTCACTCTTACCGATACTGTCATGGACAGATGCATCTGTAGCCGGCACTTTGGTACGGATGAGATCAAGTATGTTTTTCCCTCTTAGTTCCCTCACCACCTGCCGCAGACCCAGTCTAGCATCTATGTCCTTTAGGAGCGACCAGCTCAATCAGTAATGCTGCTGCTGAGCCTCTGTTGGTGATGGACATTGAAATCCCCCACTCAGAGTACATTTTGTGCCCTTGCCATCCTCAGTGCTTCCTCTAAGTGTTGTTCAACATGGAGGAATACCGATTCATTAACTGAGGGAAGACAGTACTTGGTAATCAGCAGGAGGTTTCCTTGCCCATGTTTAACCTGAAGCCATGAGACTTTATGAGGTCCGGAGTCAATGTTGCGGATTCCCGGAGCAATGGGCTCCCAAATCTTTACTGCTGTGCCGCCCCCTTTGCTGGGGCTGTCCTGCCGGTGGTACAGGACATATCCAGGGATGGTGATGGCAGTGTCTGGGACACAGTCATGCTCATGGAATCATACCTTACAGACAGTGTCAGGCTGTTGCTTGACTAGTCTTTAAAACAGCTCTCTCAATTTTGGCACTAACCCCCAGATGTTAGTGAGGAGGACTTTGCAGCGTTAACAAGGCTGTTTCTGCTGTTGTCTTTTCCGGTGCCTAGGTTGATGCCAGGTGATCTGTCTTTGAAACTTTGTAGTGATTGGTACAGCAGAGTGGCTTGCTAGGCCATTTCAGAGGGCAGCTGAGAGTAAACCACATTGCTGTGGGTCTGGAGTCACATGTAGGCCAGACCAGAAGAGGGTGGCAGATTTACTTCCCTGAAGGACATTAGTAAACGAGGTGGGTTTTTCTTAATTCCAGATTTTTTAAAATTGAATTCAAGTTCCACCATCTGCCATGGCAGGATTTGAGCCTAGGTCCCCAGAACATTATCTAAAACTCTGGATTAATAGTCTAGCAATAATACCACTAGGCCATGCCTTCCCAACCTTAGAAAGTTGAGTCTTTTCCAATCTACATGCCCTTTTAACAATGTCATATATGTTAATTACTGCTAAATGAACAAATTATGATGTTTTGCACAACTTTCAATTGTTTTTTGACTTTATTTTGCAGTGTCCCATGGTGGGAGTTGGAGTGGATCACAGAGGAGAAATAAACCTGGCTATCAAATATGTACCACCCGGCAGTTTAGGTAAAAATTGATCTGTCTTTCCTTTGGTGCTTTTATAGTCTAAATTCCAATTGTATTCCCACTGATTCTCAATTTGGCTGAGATTTATCATTGTTCTTTGAAAACTCCAGATGGTATATATTTTTTAAACTTATTTTCCGATTTTCTGCTGGCTCACTTGAGAACAGAATGTGTAGCGTTTGCTCAATGCTGGTTAGTGTAGTCTAAGCGAAAACCTAAACCTGTGTTCCAGCAATATGTGGCAGCAATCCATCAATATTCAATAACCCTGGTTTTGTTCATTTTTAAATTAGGTCCTTCCAATTGTAAAATATAAAATGTGAGCATTTGAGCAATTGTCAACCTTTACCTCAGTTTTGTGGAAGATTTATTATACTTACTCATTTCTTTTAATTGCAACAGTGCTGGACAAGAACCTTCGCATCTCCTTTTTACCACTTTACTTTTAAGCAGGAAATCATCTTAGCAAAAGATTGCTCTTGGCCCACAGATGTTATACAAATACACCTTTATGTTTTTGTTGAACAACCATAAATAATTATTGAATGCAAGTGTACACTTAGGGAACTTCAGTTCCTTCAGTGAATTTATAATTCAGTAGAGGAATGATGTCAAGAAGATAACAGATAATGACTACATGGTGAATTTCGATTGAATATTTGCACAATGGGTACCAACTGCCTGGAACAAGTTATTTGGAAAGGTCATTGACATAAAAGATAGTGTAGTGAGGATGTTTGTGGAGAGATATTTTGAGACGATGGATGGGTATAAGAGTTATATGATGTTCAGATTATATGAGTTACAGGAGTTCGGATCAATCAAAAGATTGAGTTCAGATCAGTTGACCCAAGTGGCATTTTTATGTTTCAGAAAAAACATTACTTTTCAAAATTAGCTTGAACATTTGTGATCCCTAATCCCATCGTTAGATTGGCCATTTTCCTTTGCTTAGTATCACTCTCTACAGTTACAGTATGTGTTTCAACCACAGTGGGACATATGCAATACTATTTTTTAAGTGCTGCTAAATAATGAGTGATCAAATGAACATTCATCTCAAATGCACAGATTTGAGTGATTAATGGTGCACGGGCTCTTTATTATCCCTCTGTACAGTTTATCTTGCTATCACACTGAGATTTTACCATTTTCAGGTTTGCAGTGAACAGTGTAAATATTTCTGGAAAAGCTATAGGGGGAGTTTTTAAAAGTTATCTGATTATTATACTGCTGCATACACTGGTAGTTATTGAACTCCTTCTGCCTGTGTTACATACATCACATATGGTTTAGGTCTCTAATATTCATCATGGTAGAAGAACAATTAGGGCTATTAGTTCTGGAGCCCACTTTGTTTTCTTGTAAATAGCAGGATGCCTGGTGGCAGCATGGTGAGCATGGAGAGGATTCTTTTTGTTTAGGGTTTTATTATGATTGATTGAGGACAATTTAGTCCTGATCAACCATCACAAAGTAGAAAAACCTCTATATATTTCTTCAATTCCACATTGTAATTTTAATTTACTGCATTTTTGTTTTCAAAAGTTGAAATATTTACTTTTGAAAGGATTAATTTGATCTTTAAATAATTTATTAAGGTGCTGGAGATCCTCCCACTGGAGAGGTACATATCTGGATGAAAAATGCTAAGGATTTGCCCCAGCTTCGATCGTCTGGAGTGGATTCATTTGTGAAATGGTATTTTAATGGTTGTCTGTAATTGTGCACTGAATTCACAGATTTTTTTCATTTTCAAATCCGTAAAGAGATCTGGAGTGAAAGGGCGATTTTTCATTTCATTGTCTCATGTATTTCTTGTCATTTGTAAACAAGACGTTCACCTGGATTTTGTCGGGTTGGGTAGAGTAGGCCTTACAAGTTTAGATGTCCTCAAGGAAGTGATCAACATAAAGCCTTCCCTGGGACTAAAGTTCCTGCTGGCAGGAGTATCGTCCATTGAGAGCTGTCACCCAATCAAAAGCTGGCAGCTTCTCATAAACAATGGTTTTTGGTGGCACTGAATCCACCAGAGGCCCAAGATTGTTCTAGGGTCTCAGACTAGAGGGGAGTTATATAATGGGACGACGGTTATGGGAGGTGTGGTCGTGGGAGTCAGACACAAGGGACCGGGAGCTGCACCCATTTCCAACAGCAGGTCCAACTAGTCTACACAAAGTGCAGTATGTGCAGAAAGGAACAAGGCACCTTGTTTCTGGCCTACTCAGGCAGGTGATATCTGTGGAATTGTTTAAGTTTCTAGTGGTTTGGAGTTGTGCATTGCTCAATATTATTGAAGATCCACCAGTAAAGGGACGTGAATGAAATTGAAGATACTGTAGTGCAAATTTTAAACCTCCAAAAACAGGTGGGAAATTAATTATTTCTAAATCTCATACATGATACCCAACTCACTCACTTCCAGTTTCAATAGCAATATGTCGGGATCAATGATCTTGGCTGTGTGTGGTCGGTTTGCTGCATAGATTGATCCCTTTAGGATTTTTGCACAGTTACATGTTCACCCATCTTGAAGGAAGCATTACTTCTGTGTGGCCTTCTTGTGGGACAACATGGTATATTCTGGATTGCTGTGCAGTCAGGAACTGCAGTACTTAGAGCGAACATTTATTGGGAGGTGAGCACCAGCCTATGCTTAACAAGCAGAGTGGTCATTGGATTCTCTCCAGGATGTTGTGTGCATCCATTTTAAAGGGCTTTTGTGGTTTTACCCATGTTGGCCGGATTTCCCTAATCATGGAACCCTGGCAGACAAATGGTAGGCTGACAGTGCTGGTTACAGTCCAAAACGAACCCAAGAAGATAATCTTCTTCTCATCCTGCAATTGGATGACCTGAATCCCACCTCCTGCAACATCTGTAGCCTGCTCACTACACCCCTGCCATCTCTGTGACAGACGCAATCTCTATCCCCCAGGATGAAGATTTCTCAAGCCTGGACTGTGATTTCCCCTCAGGACCACAATCTGTCTCCTCCCAGACCATAATGAGTCTCCACAGAGACCATAATGTCTCTCCCCACTGGCTGAGACCTCAATTTCTCTTTACAGACATGGTCTCTAAAGCCCAGACCAGCCCCACCATATCCCCAGGATTGTAATCTCCCCACAGGTACGATCTTTACTCCCCTACCGCAACCCCCCCCAGGATTATTTCTGCCTAGACTTCAACCTCCCCTGATATCTGCCTCACTGCCCAATGATTTCAAACCCTCTGCACCGCCCCCAGCAGATTCTTATCTTTCCTTGTGGGATCTGTAACCTTTCCCCATCAAAACTGTGATCTCTGTACCTTAAGACCACCATGTTTCTCCACAGAACAGAATGTACACTCTTCCGTCTCTCTCACATACATGCCAGCACACACCACACGTGTATATGGGTCTGAAAGTGTTCATACTTTATTGAATGCAGTAAGCATCTCATACTTGGTCAGAGTAAAGAGAGAAGTGGTATGAGACAGGCCTGAGGTTAGTGTGCTCCTAACAGTCCTATCATAATGTACAGCGTCGTCCTTCAATCTGTCAATTGTTGCAATAATGCAATAAACTTCCATATTGTTTATCAACAAGACTCGTCCATTGCAGGCAAAACAATAGCTATCATCACTGATGCTATATCACTTTGAGCTTGAAGGAACCGAGACCCTCAATAGCCACACCCCTCTCCCCTCCAGCCTCACCCTTGACCGCAATGTTTCTTTTCTTCCTCACCACAATTCTTTGTTCACGCACCCCTACCCACAAATACAATCTCAACTGCATCAGAAAGTAAATTGTGATCAAGGTTGACACCTGGCTAATACTATTAAATAAATTGGAATTTTAAAAGTCTTAAACCATTTTTCTTCCCATTGCATGAACCAAGCTTTACTGGACTTACTTGTACTATCCTCTGCAGTATATAATTTAGTCCTCCACCTATTCTGCTTGCACTGTCTTTGTTTAAATGCTTTAACTTCCCTCACTATTTTATCCCTCAGTTATGTGCTTCCTGACACAAGTAAGAAGAGTTACCAGAAGACTCGGATTGTGAAGAAGGACACCAACCCTATTTATAACCATACTATTGTATACGATGGCTTCAGAACGGAGGATCTGAAGGAAGCCTGTGTTGAACTGACAGTATGGGATCATGAAAAACTGACCAATCATTTTCTGGGTGGACTCAGGCTGGGTTTTGGCACAGGTAAATACATCATTTCTCTTTAGGCTTGGTTTACGTGGAACTTTCTTTGAAGTCTGGTGTCCTCCATGGCAAGATTGTAGTCCAGCCCACAGATACTGAGCATGAACAGCCCACTGCTGCACCTGGAATTCAATTTTGCTGTGTAGTGAAATGACTGTCTCCTGTCAGTGATTCCTGCAAAAGAACATGAGATAAATGATGGTCAAACAAATAATGTCAATTGGACTGGAGAAAATGGTTAGAGGAGATTTGGTGGGACAAGTCCGTGGGTAGATTTGGAAATAAGGACAATGATATATTAATTCATGGGATCATATGGAATCAGAGAAACCATTACATACCATTTTGTGCAGATAGAAACATGGAAAATAGTGTTCTAAATGGCCTAGTTATGGACATGGGATGGGCAGCAAGGAGAGTTTTCTAGGAGTTAAGTAGCAAGAGGTAAGAAAAGTTATGGGCAATATTTTGTACATGAAGAGCAAAAAAGAAGCAGTCTTTTACCGATTCAAATGTGGGGTTGTGTGTGAATGGTGGGTGGGGAGGCTCAGCTAAGGACCAAGCATTAGCTAAAGGATACTAATTCTGAGACAGCAGCCAGAAGGCTTGTCAGAATTGAGGTTACAGGCATACAGTGCTTAGGCACAGGGAACAGAAAAACTGCAATCTGTCCACCATCACTAACTTTCAGGAAAAGCCCAACTTATGCAGGCTTAAATCCTGAACAGGCAGTTAGAAAGGATTAGGCTGTGATCATGGAAAATGCTGTATTGTCAATGCAATCAGTCTCAAGTTGCAGGTGAGACATGCTGTATTGATTAACTTGCTATATTTCAATGTGACATGTTTGTAATTCCTTATCCTGTTTATCGTCACAATGCTTGTTCATAAAAAAAAGTATCTTTATTACTGAGACAACAAGGTGCAGGGCTGGATGAACACAGCAGGCCAAGCAGCATCATAGGAGCAGAAAGGCTGACGTCTGATGAAGGGTCTAGGCCCGAAACGTCAGCCTCTCTGCTCCTGTGATGCTGCTTGGCCTGCTGTGTTCATCCAGCCCTGCACCTTGTTGTCTCGGATTCTCCAGCATCTGCAGTTCCTACTATCTCATCTTTATTACTCTTTCTGTGATTTTTATTGTTGATGGAGTTGAGAATTATTGTGCCTGAATACAACATAATTAATAACCTGACTCCATCTAGTGACATAGGGATAAATAGGCAGCTTCATTTGCATGATCATGGCTTAACTTTTGCAGCTATCCTTCAGAATTCAGCAGCACATGCATGGAATACTAATTGTTTGGAACTGTGGACACAGAAAACAGCGATCCGCTTTTCACGTTATGATACAATGGACAGAGGCATAATCTGAAGAATGAACATCCAGTAAAACATAGTTCAGTAGTCACAGCTGCCAGGCCATTGTGAAAGAGAGGCCAACTGTGTCCCCCAAAGCCCAGCAGGTCCATCCAGGGTTGCTTTCCAGGATACATCTCTGTCCCCCAATCTGCTGCCAGGGGGCGTCTGGCCTTCCAGCTACACCCTAGGCGCTGGTGTCATAAAGAAAGTTCAGACAGTGTCTGAAGAGCACCTTCATTTGGAACTTTAATTGGCTATTGATCTTTGGCAGTTGGGTGGCCATCACTTTCCAGAAACTGCCTCCTGAAGGCAGGCCAGATGTAGGAACATGCTATCAGAGGGCATGCCATGTGGTTGGAGAAATCACCTCCAATCCCATTCCCTTCATCGTGGTGAAACTTAGTCCATTATGTCCACTGTAAAGGAGGGAGTTGTTGATAAATGTTGTGTGACTATGCTGCATCCAATTTCAAAATGTGTCTAACCCTAACTGGATTTGGAGATGCATACTTTTAACGTATGTTTCTGTAAATAACTGCTTGGAAGTGTATAAAGACTGGCGTCCAGTTCTGACTATCACTACCTAGCTATCTGGAATAAGAAAAGGGAATAATCTTGTGTTTTAATAAAAAAAGTTTGTTGCATGCCGCAAAAGTGAATGTATGTCCACAAAAGCCTAACTTTTGTTGAACAATATTACAACAACCCAAAACTATATATGCAGCAGGACTGGGGCAGCATCAAACAAAAAGGGATAAATTCTACATGGTTCGAATGATCAATATTGCCTGTGATTATTGCTGCTAAAGGTCTTTTAAAATATGTTGTACACTAGTGCTGTTCCTAACAAAGCAAGCTGGTCCCCTCATGATCTTAAATTAAGAGCATTCTCATAGGACATAGAACTGTACAGCACAGGGTCAGGCCTTTCAGCCCGTGATGTGGTGACAAACATGACGCCAAATTAAACTAATCCCATCTGCCCGCCCTTGGTCCATATCCCTCCATTCCTTGCATATTCACGTGCTTATGTAAAAATCCCTTAAACACCCCCATCATATCTGCCTCTACCACTACCCCTGCAATGCGTTCCAGACTCCTACCACTCTCTGTGTAAAAAACTTGCCCCTTGCATCTCTTTTGAACTTTCCCCCTCTCACCTTAAATGCATGCCCCTTGGTTTTAGACGTTTCATCTCTGGGAAAAAGATTCTGACCTTCAACCCTATCTATGTATTTCATAATTTTACGGACTTCTATCAACTCTTTCCTCAGCCTCCGCCGCCCCAGAGAAAACAACCTAAGTTTTTCTAGCCTCTCCTTATCGTTCACACCCTTTAATCCAGGCATCATCCCGATAAACCTCTTCTGCACCCTCTGCAAAGCCTCCACATCCTTCCTGTAATGTGGTGACCAGAAGTAAATGCAATACTCTAAGTGTGGCCCAACCAAAGTCTTATAAAACTGCACCATGACATCCTGACTCTTGTACTCAGTTCCCCGACCAATAAAGGTAAGCATACTGTATGCCTCCTTTACCACCCTATCTACTTGCATGGCCACTTTCAGGGAGCTATGGGCTTGAGCCCCAAAATCCCTCTGTACATCAATGCTTTTCAGGGTGCTGCTATTAACTGTATACTTTTCCTCAATGTTTGATCTCCCAAAGTGTAGCACCTCACAGTTACCCGGATTAATCTCCATCCGCCATTTCTCTGCCCATATCAGAAACTGATCTATATCCCACTGTATCCTTTGACAACCTTCTACACTATCCACAACTCTGAGGATCTTTGTATCATCTTCAAACTTACTAACCCACCCATCCACATTTTCATTCAAGTCATTTACATATATCACAAACAACAGAGGTCCCAACACCTCATCTGTAGGTGTCATGTAAATATAATAACCGTTAACTTCCATTTGTGTATGTGTGGGGTCATTGGAGATGGTGAATTTTCATACTGATTTTGCTTTTGGTCTTATGTTTTGCAGGATATAGTTATGGAATCCCAGTAGAATGGATGGATTCCACAGAGGAAGAGACAGCTCTCTGGCAAGAAATGGTGTCAAATCCTAATGAATGGATACCAGGCTCCCTGCTACTTCGGTCTCAATTGGGAGGCAAGAAGCTTAAATGAAATAGCACTTTGTGCAAAAAGACTTACAATGGTCTTTACTGCCAAAATATTTTGTGTCAATCAGCAACTGAACTGATAGTGCACTGAGTGCACTTGATAACATGAATCAAGCCTTTTTTTCTGATTCAAATACTATCACCTAGTAAAATGACTGAATCTATTGCCTTTACAGACTTGAATCTTGAATCCTTTTTAAAGAAGCCATTTCAAATCTTTGTACAAAATCTATTTTCTGAACATTCTTCTATCCCAACATTTCCATTAGGCCCTCGACATTTCTATGGTAGTTTTTGACTTTCTGTGTCCCATCTGTAGCCCATTCCTCAATTACATGAACATGTAATTTCAATATTATTTCTCTTCAATCCTGAATATTGTCTTGCTGACATAAAAACAAAAAAAAAATTAGAAGGATTCAGCAAGACTTGCAGAATCTGTGAAGTGGGAAACAAGAGTTAATGTTTTGGGACTATAGATCACAATTGAAATGCCATTGGGAAATGTTAACACTGTTGTTCTCTTCAAAGATGCTGCCTGAACTACAGAGAATTTCCAGCATTTTCAGTTAATCTAGATTTCCAGCATCCATAGCATATTGTTTCACGTAATTATCCTTCTGAAGAGATTCTCAGGAACACTCCAATGTTTTATACCAAAGAATGATGGAACGTCTGCCACTACCCATAATTTTCCTTTACAATGAGCTTCTGGTTTAAAAAATGATGTGGAGGTGCCGGTGTTGGACTGGGGTGGACAAAGTCAGAAGTCTCACGTCACCAGGTTATAATCTAACCTACAGTGAAACCTTTCACCTGATGAAAGAGCAGCGCTCTGAAAACTTGTAATTTTATCTGTTGGACCATTACCTGGTGTCGTGAGACTTCTGACTTGGTTTCAAAAATGCCACCCAGGAAGTTTCTGAGTAGAGGCCAGTTAAATAAATAAGAACCATTTCACTTAGTGTTTGTATACCTTTTTAAAAAGCTCCTTTTTTTTTCTGACTACACAGTAAGTGAAACTGAATTCCAACACTTAAACGTCACCAGTTGAATGGGCTGTGAGCCACATAAAGAAATACTGAACAGAGTTCTATCAGAGGAGAAATAGTTATTGATAGCCCTTGATACATACTGACATTTGCTAACCCAGGTGGTTAGTAATATGGAGGATGGTCTTTACATCCATTTTGCTTTAAATGACTCTTCAATTTAGTCTATAGGTGATTTCCCCCTCCCTCCACATTAATTATCAGTTGTAAGAAATTCAGATACAAGGGGTTTCAATTAAAAACTTACCAGCTCTCCTGCTTAAACTGATACTAATGTATGGAGCACTTTCAACAAATTAGCTTTTACTCAGATTCTAAACACTGCAGTTACTTCCCTTGCAGAAATGCCATAACTGATATAGTTCAGAAAATAAGTACCATAGGGAAGGATCATAAATAGAGCCAGTTCATGAGCTATAACATCCATCTGGCTAAAGTGGGTTAGAGACACGTCTGCACCTGAATGGCTGAAATGTTATAGTAGAAATGGATCTGTCAAATTGTTCAGTTAGATAATTACTGTTTCATTTGAGGAATTAATTTCTGTAGATTCCTGTTTGTAGATTAATGTTTGTCTTACTTTTCAAATAATTGGATTGTTTGCAGTGTTGTATGCAGCACACATTCTCTGCATTCCAAATGCTCTTGTTTTATTGCCAGCAATACTAACAAATAGGAGGCAAACAATATTCTAGATGAATGTTGAAGCTTCCCTTATGTCATATTATAACTTCTTATGTTTAGTCATTTGCTCCTCCTGTATGGTGCACCAACATTGTCTTTGCTGTACATATTAAGACCCTTCAGTTAATGACAGAAATTTAAAGTTTAAGCATTGGCTACTAACTACAAACGGTAAATTGCATTGGTGTGCTTTAAATATGTTGAAGCTGCTTCAAGGACTGTGTCATCTAGCCAGTCTAATGTGGTGGTTGGAGACTTTGTGTAACTTTTTTAAAGTTTAAGTTCTAATTGAAATAGATGAAATATTAGTAAAGTTTGTCTACTACAATGTGAGACCATTTATGAATTCTTTCCTCTCTTCCATTTACCATCTATATTTAGCAGCCTGATAGAGGGCTAACTGAACATAGTGATCATAGGAGAATAACTTTTGACATCAATATTGGATCCAACTCTGTTAGTCTGATGGAGAGTGTAGCTATTTATCGCTCCATTTATAACTGGACCACATTTCACTTGTGCATAACATCTTCTCCTCCTTGTAATTTTCTCCCTGGAAATAATTGATTTATTGAGCAAGGAAGGCATGAATAAACCTTAAAAAATTGAGATGAGGTTGTATGCTTTCACCTCATTCATAATATATCTAAAATCTCTACAACTTTCCACCATTACTTAATGGTTTTGTCGCTGCTATTTTCTGACAGAATTTGTATTTCAATGTTTACATGTTGTAATATATTTCAGTATCTGATCAGCTGGTATTTAATTTTATTAAGATGGCATAAAGAATTTCCCAGGCTTCAGCCTAAATTCAGGGCAACTTTTTGGTGTTAAATCAATGGATCTCAATATTGTTAAATTCAACTTGCGTGATGCTAATTTTGTTTTTTATTCAAATTGAATTTAAGAAATCAGAAGTGAAAACCTGAGCTATGATTTCATTTTAGACAGACAATAAAAGAAATAATGAGTATGTCAGGTTCATGTGTCAACCATCTAAAAGTTTTCTCAGGCTGATCTAACAGTTGAAAAAATATAACATCAAATATAGGAATAATCAATTATAAATGTCAGTGTAACCATGATATAATAAATTGAAATGACATCTTGAAGGTGTCCTGTTTTCTATTTTCCAGTGGTCATCAGTACTTTTCTTTATATAATTTTTTTCTTCTTTCTGTCTTCTCTCTCTTTCTTCCCTAATCTCTCCCTCCCCACCAAGTCCAAGTGCTGACTAAATAAGCATCGTTGCACTGCAACATTTACATTAATGTATGACATTGTAGCAACCAGCATTGATACCATTATAACTGATGTTGTTACTCACTGTTCACATACAGACACTGATTTCCTTCCTGATTATCCTGTCTGTCCCCTCAAATGAAAATGGGCCAGGGCAAGCTGGATTCTATTGTTAGAAACTGTGGCTATTGCAGTGATTCAACAAGAAAGTTAGAGCGCCTATAGAGCTGGCGGTGGACTCAATCATCAATCAGTTAAAGTAGCCATGACTTTGAGTAGGAACTGTTCGACCTTGTGCTTTGAGCCAGGACTACTGCTTGCACACTGAGATACCAGTCTGAAATATAACTAGGCTGCAGGTGGCTTCACAGACATTGTCCCTGAGGTTGCTTGCTTTTTATCTCTATGTAAGGCTCTTCAACTCCTTATGTACTTTAACACTGCTTTATTTACAATTGTACATAGAAAGTTATCAAATACAGTGTCTAATTTAGTGTCTAAGACATTTCTCAATGCTCATTCCAGACTGGTGGCTTCTTTCTTACTAATGTCAAAGTCATGTGATCAGTTACATTATCACAATATACATGAATTTCATTATATCCCTAGAATCAAACTTAAATTTGAAACTGATGGTGATATTGAACTCCATGCTATGGAGTGACCATGCTGAACTAAGTAATGTGACTTCAGTAAGGAAATACAATGAGAAGCTTAACATTTTGTATTCAGCATGCGTCAAAAACCTTGACCATCTGTTTGGGACCTTAAGAGTTGAGGATAGTATTTAGGATTTTTCACTTTCATATTTCAATTTCTCCCTCTACTTTTCCCTTGATGCATCAATCTTGTGCCCTGTTACCATCTCAGGACAATATCTTATACAAATGAGCCCATGACTTCCCTCTACACCTTCCTTAGTGTTCTCCACCGATATCATTTCAGCAACTATTGGTGGTTCTCACAGAGCAGCAGTCCCCAACAGACTATATTCTTGGCTGCCCTCACTAACTCCTCTTCACTACATGTCCCCCCACCCCAACCCCTTAAAGACTGCACCTGAAGACATGGAGAGCAAAGTTTAATGTTGCTGGCATGTAATTCCATCTTTATCAACTAACTACTCCACATTGCCATGCTGCCAAAACAGCCAACATCTTGTGGGGTGGGGTGGGGGGTGGGCACATGAATTTCTCCCTTTAACTATAAGGAAGACCAAAGTCCACACTTCATTTTAAATGAATCTATCCCGCTCATAGTCACATTTTTAGATTAACCCAGACTGTATTGTCTTAAGTTTAAAAGCAAAGCCCCCACTGGGCAAATGTGGAATTGACTGAGATTTGTGACTAGTGCAAAGATTGCATAGAGTTCTAGGAGAGTGAATACACATCTGCAATAAAGTTCAATGGCCTGCAGTCTAACGATGACAAAAAGCAACGTAATTAGGTCATCTGAAGTTTAATGGTGTTCTGTGATTTCATACAAAGCCACGATTCACCAGCATGTGCTTCATGGTAACAAGATTTGCTGTTGCCCATCTGAATGCAGGCATGTTGGTGAGTGAGAGTCAGGGGAGGATAGCAGTCTGGGGTTTGCTGCTTTGTGAACAGGGATCCAATGAATTGTTTGTATTTAAACAAGTGGTGATCAGCTGCCCCCCAGCACAGCACCAACAATTCAAAGTTTGATGGAAATTCGATACTGTACTAATGAAGTCTCTGAGTTTCCTTAATCGTGTGACTTATGTCATGAGACACACTCACTGCAGGCAACCATCTTAAAGAAGTTCTAAGAAAGAGAGTGTACAAGCAACATTGTATGAATTGTACATGCAGCACGGTCCACAGAAGTGGAGCTGTAATTGAGTGCTGAAGCCCTGTATAGAAGCAAAGCTACAAAAAGAAGAATGCAGATACTTAGAACATTAGATTCAGGAGCAGGAGTAGGCCACTTGGCCCTTCGAGCCCACTCCACCATTCAATAAAATAATGGCTAATCTTTTGGTGGCTTCAGCTCCACCTACTCAGCCTCTCACCATAACCCTTAATTCCTTTACTGTTCACAAAATTGTCCATCTTAGTTTTAAAAACATTCAATGAGGAAGGCTCAACTACTTCACTGGGCAGGGAATTCCACAGGTTCACAACCCTTTGGTTGAAGAATTTCCTCCTCAATACAGTCCTAATTCTGCTCCCCCTAATTTTGAGGCTATGCCCCCTTGTTCTAGTTTACCTGCCAGTAGAAACAACCTCCCTACTTATATCTTATCAACTCCCTTAATAATGTTATATGTTTCTATATGATCCCGTTTCATTCTTCCAAATTCCAATGAATATAATTCCAGTCTACTCAGTCTCTCCTCATAAGGCAACCCCCTCAACTCCAGAATCTACCTAGTGAATCTCCCATGCAACCCCTCCAGTGCTAGTATATCCTTTCTCAAGTAAGAAGACTAGTAACTGCATGCACATACTCCAGGTGTGGCCTCACCTCACCAGCTGCAACATAGCCTCCCTGCTTTTAAACTCAATCCCTCTAGCAATGAAGGACAAAATTTCATTTGCCTTCTTCATTACTTATTGCACCTGCAAACCAACCTTCTGATTCATGCACAAGGACACCCAGATCCCTCAGCACAGCAGTATACTGCAAAGTTTTACCGTTCAAATAGTAGCTCCTTTTACTGTTATTCCTACCAAAAGGGATTACTTCACATTTACCAACATTGTATTCCATCTGCCAGACCTTTGCCCACTCACTTAATCTATCTATACCCCTCTACAAATTTTCAGAGTTCTCTGCACATTTTGCTCTCCTACTCATCTTAATGTGATCTTCAAATACTGACACACTACATGTGATCCCCAACTCCAAATCGTCTATGTAAATTGTAAACAATTGCGGTCCCAACACTGATCACTGAGGCACACCACTAGTCACTGATCACCAATCAGAAAAGCATTCAGTTATCCCCATTCTTTGCTTCCTGTTAGTTAACCAATCCTCTATCCATGCTAATACATTGCCCATAACGCCATGCACCTTTATTTTATGCAGCAGCCTTTGTGCGGCACCTTGTCGAATGCCTTTTGGAAATCTAGGTACACCACATCTACTGGGTCCCCGTTGTCCACCACGCTTGCAATGTCTTCACAGAATTCCAGCAAATTAGTTAAACATGACCTGCCCTTCATGAACCCATGCTGAATCTGCCCAATATGACACATTCTATCTAGGTGTCTTGCTATTTCTTCTTTGATGATAGATTCAAACATTTTCTCCGCTACAGAAGTTAAGCTAATTGGCGTATAATTCCCCATCTTTTGTCTACCTCCTTTTCTAAACAGTGGTGTCAAATTTGCTGTTTTCCAATCTGCTGGAACTGTTCCAGAGTCCAATGAATTTTGGAAAATTACCACAAGCGCATTTGCTATTTCTCCCGCCATCTCTTGTAGTACTCTGGACTACATTCTATCAGGGCCAGGAGACTTGTCTGGTTGTTATCAATTACTGGCATGTTATTCGTGTCCTCCACTGTGAAGACTGACACAAAATACCTGTTCAATGCCTCAGCTATTTCCTCACTTCCCATTATTAGATCCCCCTCTTCATCCTCTAAAGGACCAATGTTTACCTTAGCCATTCTTTTTCATTTTATATATTTATAGAAACTTTTGCTATCTGCCTTTATATTCTGAGCTAGCTATTCTCATAATCTATCTTACTTTTCTTTATAGTTTTTTTGTAGCTATCTGCTAACCTTTAATATTTTCCCAATCTTCTTGTTTCCCACTGGTCTTTGCAATTTTGTATGCCTTATCTTTCAATTTGATAGCCTCCCTTATTTCCTTCGACATCAATGGCTGATTACCCCTTTTGCTACAGTCCTTCCTTTTCACTAATATATACTTTTGCTGAGCACTTTGAAAAATTGTTGTGAAAGTTGTGTACTATTCCTCAACTATCCCACCATAAAGTCTTTGCTTCCAGTCTACTTTAGCTAACTTCTCCCTCATCCTATTGTAGTCTCCTTTGTTTAAGCACAGGACCCCGGTACTGGATTTTATCTTCTTACTTTCCGTCTGAATTCTAAATTCAACCATACTGTGATTGCTGCTGTAGGTTGCTAAAAGCTACAGAAAATGAAAAATAAGCAACCACTGAATAAGCTGAATCACTGGGTGTGTCACACAATGGTTGGAAACTTTCCACTTTGGTCTAAACTCAGAGGTTGCTATAGATGTAACTGACAAGCCAGAGTAACTATGCTTTCATCACTGTTGGAGAGAGCTGTTACAAAGTGTATTCCACACTAAGTGTCTCTGAAGAATAGATAAAAACAGACAATATAAATTTTTAAAGCCTTGAAAGTACACTTTGAACCTAAATTGAATACAATATATGAATGGTATGTGTTGAATATTAGAAATCAAATTTAAAAAGAGCATATTCATAGATATGGACCAGGTGCTAGAGAATTGGATTAGAATAGTTAGGTGGTTGTTTTTAACCAGTGCAGACTTAATGAGCAGGACAGCATTCCTTTATGACTCTATATGTGTCTGCATTCACATAGCTTACAGAATCCTGTGAATTCAGGCACGCAAAAGATGATCTCATTTAGGAAAGAATTTTTTACAGCTTAAGAGATCCCAGATTCACTACGACACTGCAATGCTAAGTAAGGGAAGAGAATCAGACTATCGAAGAAGTTATAAATATGTGCAAAAGTTCTGAGTTTGTAACTCAACAGGTACAGCATTATACATGGCCGAGCAGGTGACTTTGTCCACAATTTGGAAAAGCAGTCCAGACCTGTGCACTATGTTGTTAAGAACCTCAGATTAGTCCACTGTGTTGAAAA